TGAAATTCCTGACCCGGCAAGGTTGTGTACATTAGCCAGTGGATGATTCCGTTCATCAGGAGAACCTAAGACTACTTTAAGCGATCTACGCTGATTAGAACATTCATCATCTCTTTTGCCTATTCTAATCAGCTTTTTAATCGATACTCCAGGGAAATTCGTTGGGAGCATCTTCCTTATAATACTACTCACTAATTTAAGGTCGTGATCGTGCCTTTTTACGGGATCAGATTCTTTGGACTCTTCTAAGTTTCCAACAATTATGTTAGAGTCTAAGGAGAGCTTGTCGTGTTTAGCAGTGGCTACGTCTTTTCTCACCACTATTGATGCAGCTTGGCTACAGGTGACAGACGTTCGCCTACCATCATTATTACTTTGTTTCTTCTGATTGCTTGTCTTCGTTACCCACTGATCACCTGCCTGCAGTTGCTTTTCAGGGCTGATGCAGGTTTTGATGGTACAGTCGAGATCAGTGTCTGCACCACCTTCATGGTGAACTTCGCTTACAGTGTTCTCTGGTGCTGAGATACTGTTTGCAGCTTCCGTTTTGTTACCCTTTCGCTTACTGAGACGCTTCGAACGCCTAGTAGGTTCTACTTCCAGGGTAACTGGGATAGTAACTACCGGTGTGGTAACATTCATGATGGCACTTGCTGTGTTATCTTCAGACGGGCAGTCTGTGTCACTATTACTAGCCACGCTATCATAAGGAAGTTCCATAGCCTTAGACAGTAGTTCGTGAGCCTCCCTTATCAAAGTCATCTTTGGGGAGCAACACATTCTGCACATCCAGTGGAATGTTGGAGCACTACAACGTTTGTATGCAGCTGGACGTAATCCAGTACACATCTTATGATACCACTTTTTACAGTTATTACACTGTATTCCATCATCTACCAAAAAGTAACACTCCACCCTATTACATTTATGTGGTACTTTTGACATAATGAACTAATGGAACTGCCAGGACAATTTACCCAATGTAGACTATATAAATGTTTAAAATAAAAACTTAACAGACAAAAGTCAAGTTAAAGTTTTTTTAAATGTTCTCGAAGTGAATAACACAACAAAAACAGCAATTTGTCAAATACGTGAAAATACGTGAAAAAAGCACTCCCTTTTTCAAACAGCGCGCGCGTTATGCGAAACACGTTTGGTAATTCCGGCCGATCTATTTAAATATGATAAAAATATCATAGATAACGTTTTGGTTTTTGTGAAAAGACCATCAGATTATTTCATGTGTGCATTATATTCTTAACCACAACTTAGCATCACTACATGTCACCTTTGCACTCTTTTGCTGCATTTATTACAAAGATTCAAACAATTGTTCTCCTCTTCAATGAATTCAAACTCTGAACTATCTACACAAGTCTCTTCATGAGAATACTTATTGTTGTTTTGAAAATCTTGAGATTTTGTTATCAGCAGAGAGGGACAAATTCCAACTCATCGAATTGTGAGAATTATTAAAACTACACTTAAATGATAAAAGATTTTGTAGCAATATTGGTAAACATTGTTAGATGAATAATTTCGTTAGATGGATAACAATATAAACAAGTTATAACGAATCATCATTATCCAATTTGCTCTCTAAACAACTGTTACGAGAAACACAAGGTGAAAATAGTGGAGGTAATAGTATTCTCCCAACTAGCTTCGATTGATGTAGTGCAGTTTACTCAGCAACTAATAATAATAATATATTCTCATTTTTGTACACGAGGGACGCCCGTTTACAGGCATCGTCAATACCATAAATAACATATACGATTAGTAAGCACATATGGTAATGAAAATATAATGAATTCATATAAATATGTAACTTAAATAATACTTATCCATTCCTATACAACTTGTGTGTCCTACATTTGTAGGAATAAATGTGTACCTTATTATATTATCATTACTAACTATACTCACTAACCGTATGTGTAATTTATCGAATTGATGATGCCTGTAAAGTGGCGTCCCTCATGTACAAAAATGAGAATATACTATTATTATTACTATTATTATTATATGTATTCCTACCTATGTAGGACACACAAATTGTGCAGGCATGGATAAGTATTATTTAAATTTCATAAATTTGATTTATGCTGAAATTACATGGTTGCTGTCTTTTTCGACTTTAGTTTGTGGGGACAATGTGCTAACTAGTCATTCAATGGAGCACATTAGGAAATATAGAAATATTGACTTCGCATTAGCGAAAACTCAAGCATGTGTTGGATGGATTGCATATACTTGGGAAAATATCTAATCTTGAAGTCATTCCTCCATATAACTTTGGTGTGTACGACATCGAATGTTATTCTTGATTTATATCCAAATTGGGTATTAATTCAAAATAAGTGATGTATTTGTATAACGTTGTCAGCATTTCCATCGTGGGTAATACCAGAAGGGAATTGTACTTAATGCAGACAAATAATAGTTTATATTTTCTTATAAGGGTTGCTATCCTCATGGCCAATCTTCCCTCTTTACCGGCCTCGCTACCGTCCTAGCAAGGTTCGTCGACCGGAAATTGAACTCCTGACCACATGGTTGGTTTGCGGTAATTGTACACCTGAACGACCGATGCGCAGTTACATGTATGAGACCACGCATTACACCAGATAACTGTGTCACTGTTCGGATGAGACCCATACGGTTGAAACCAGCAGAAGATAGTGAAGAGATTCTAATTAGCAAGGAGGAATAAAGACAGAGGAAACGACGTTTGAACCACTTAAAAGTATTCCTGTACTAACCACCACCAACGGACAAAGTAATGCTAGTGAATAATGATCCTCAAACTAAAGCAGAGGTCCTGAATGCTGTAGGGCTACTGAAGGCCTAAGTTCCTCTTGCAAGGCTGAAAAAGAATCAAGAGGTCTCAGAAGTTTGCCTCACGTTACTATTACAGACCATATGGAAAGGGAGGAACGACACCCACCCACTGAAATGGTGGCCTGTCTGTCGAACAACCAACGAAGGGTTGCTTAATTCTTTGCAAAAGGCATATGGCAAGGCTAAACCTCAAGAGATTCAATGGTGAAAGCTTGTAGAAGCTCTTGAAGTGGAGTTGGGAGTAAGACAAAGCTTCCTACTGCCACCGATGATAACCCTAACGCCTAAAGACGCCTAATTATCTGTAATCTTGAACACAGTAGAGTAATTCAAGGACTGTATAGCTGCTAACTCTGGAATTCTTACGGAAGTGAATGCAGATTTTTTCTGTCTGAGTTTACTGCTTGTCTCCAGCTGATTCTTATATATTAGCATACGTGTTGTGAACGAACTGAAGGTCGATGCTGAGCACAGATAAGCCACACTAAAGATATTCAGGAAAAAGAGTCTGGTTCGTGCTATATTACTCAGATTTCACTTGAAACCTTGGTTCAACCTAAGATACAGTAAAGGTACATTAGCAGTCGAACAACATATTATTGCCACCAGATAAAGTGTTTACTTTATCAGATACTCACAGACCCAAAAAAACTAAGAACGAAAAGTCGATGAATAACCCATCTCGTCTTCTTTATAAAGCTATAATAAAGTGCTCGGCTTACGACAGCACTGTCAATTCATATTCAAGTAATTCAGGAATCATAACCCCATATGAAGTAAAATGAGCAGAGAGGCTAAAACCGGTGCTTCTCTGTGGTTATCTCAGATAATATCTAAAGAGGACTACCGTTCAAACAAAGTACCTCACACGTCTAAAGAATGTAATTGGTGATTCATCTAGTTGATGAAATAAATTGAACAGCGTGTCATGGAACCGACATATGGTCAGAATTCATCAACAGCTAGTGTGAAACTTGGCATCTAGGTAAAAGGACTGTTATGTGGTCCTTCGAATTTGGAGAACTTAGTTTGTATCACATCCAAAACTGCCTAAACCTTAGAGAAGAATACAGAGTTGTTTCTACCATTAACTGTAATCATCCACAATTAATTATCATTTGTATACCTCTGATGATTTGGACACAGTAAAACATTTATTATGCTGGAGATTTACTTGTCGATGTCAGTGAGGTTTATCCAGCTGCATCACTTATTTAGTATGTGTATACACGGCGATTCCTTGGCGAATGCCTTAGCAATATTGCAGTTGAGCTGCGTATAAGCTGAAACTGGACATGTCCGAACAATGAATGAGCCGCAGTGCCCATTTAATGCATGTACACATATTGCTTCTTGCTACATGTCCCACATGGTTACTAGAGGTAAAATCGGATTTTCTGATATGGAAACTTAATGCTTCTGAATCAGCATAACATGCAGACAGTTTCTAAAGTACATGTGAAGTCATCCCGTCATTTATCAACAAGTTCGATCACATAAACCTGTTAACTACTCTAGACACATGCATGAGTCTTTTGTTTGTAAGTAATGTCTATATATTGTAGCATCGTTACACCTGTAGACGTGGAGAGAATATTCTAATTATTGTTTGTGATTTTTGAATATGTTTACAAGTCTTGTAATAAGTTACCAAAGGGATGGTGCTTGTAATCCGTAAAGATAGAAATCACATTTGTGCAGTCCAGCGGTTCTGGAGTCATGAATTTATTATTAGTGATGACATGCTACACTAGGATACAATATTAGTGACTGATAATATATGGAGTACAGTTCTCGAGATGTAATCATAGGAGGATTTATGTTTCTAACTGTGATTCATACTTCATACGCTTTCTCCCGTTTTCATTTTCTGTTCAGTTTTGGTTATTCAATACTTGAAAAGAAATTAAATGATATATGCCAGTGTGAAATCACTCAATGAGATTGTTAAAATTTAATGAATAGACACTCACTTGAGACTATTTCAGATTGCAGATATTTTGATTGGTTCACTCAAATCACCTCCATGAACGAAAAAATCTCTTTACAAAACATGCAACAAGATCGCATGCAGACACACTAACGAGCAGAAACACAAAAACACGTTAGAGGACAAAGGATATAAATTTATGTTGTATAAACAATCTTCACACTAAGCTCACAGAAACTCAAAATCATGACAATGACCTATTTGCTTAGCTCCATATTTCTCATAATTTCCTATCACGCAGTCAATTGCTTAGTGCCAAGACCACTGAAGCAAGAGATGGGTGAATCGTTGTGTAGTGTGGCCAACCTACTTCCAATTGAACACGATTATCCATCATGTTACATACTCACCGAAGCATTGAAAGTGTTCGACAAACGTCTTCTACAAATACATCGTTCACCACAGTCAAATAACGATGGGACAGTATCTTGCAGCATCAAAAAACTAAGTGTTGTCATCACAAGTGGCTGTGATGAATCACAGAATCAACTTTGGCCCAGTGAACACATGGATGAATCACGTAGGTCTAACTCTCCTCTTCATAATATGCATACATAATTAACTAAATAACCACTGAAGACAAAATCAGCATACTGGATGGGAAGATTGACATTGAATCTAATGAAGTATGGGGAGTATTGCACGCCTTGCAGACTATCATACAACTGGTGCGCAGAAGTGAATGGGGAGCTGTGAGTCAATTGTGATAATAATAAACCACTATGTTTCTCTGCATCTCAATAATTATTTCATTTAGCTTGTATTACGCGAACAAACTATTGAGGATTCACCACAATATGGTCACAGAGGATTTCTGCTGGACACTGCCAACCACTACATCAGTGTTGATGAGATGGAGAAATTCATTGTAAGTCAATCCAACCCATTATTCTCTTACTTCTACTTCACAATCATTCAGGATGTTATGGCCGTTGTTAAAATGAATGTACTTCACTGGCATATGACAGATAACACTGCATTCCCCTATGACTCATTCACATATCCTGAACTCTCCAGAAAGGTATTTAGTTTTTCACACTTTCCCTCATCATTTTTGTCTGTGCCTACCTGTCACATCACAGGGTGCATATGATCCACAAAAGTTAGTGTATGTAAATGGGGATGTTCGACGGTTGTTGCAGTTTGCACGTCAGCGTGGGATACGTGTGATCGTGGAATTTGATACTCCTGGTAAGTGATTGAGGAGCTTCACATTCTGCATTGTATTTGTTGGTGAATTAACACTATGCATGTTTCAATTGGAAAACTCCAGTTCACTGAATATATACATTAGATCATATGACGCCTTTGAAAAGACGGTTGCAGCAAAGATAATTTTCTTTTTAATGAACCCATCAAATAGGTTGTACACACGTGCATTTATAGTTATTCGATGAGCAAGCTCCAGAACTCTTTCCGATCAAGGTTCAAATTAGCAAGATGAAGATGTAATAATAATAGCAAAATAAACAGGAACATTGAATAAAATATATAGTAGAGCAAGTAGCGGAGAAAATAGGGTAAAACTAACAGAGATTAACAGGAAGTTAGGACTATTAGTACTGAGAGGACATACAAGGGTTAGACATATTCATTTTGAATACATGGTGTCCGCTTTGCCCGGATGCCTTTAACTCGCTACATTGGAGGACTCTGGACGAACCTTGTGTACTGCTCTGAAGTCCTTTTATTTTGCTACAAAAAACAGTGATGCGGTTTTAGTGGATGCGTCTTATGGTCAAATGTTAGCCTCACATTAGGTGTTCCGTGTTATTCGTGGTCTCTTGGTCTTTTGGTGACTCATTTTGAATTGGTAAATACTTCATTAATTTGAACAAGTAGGTTCAGTGTTCACTGTGTGAATTTCGTCTCCATATGACTTTCAGCATATTCACTTTTCGAACATAACAGTTTAGTATTACTGTCTGGCTGATCTTCAGGCCTCCGTAAAAACATATAATTTCGTTTGAACCAAATATTCACTTGTGAAGTAAAATCGATTCTATTCCTTTGTTGCTGATTTCAGGTCACACAAAGTCATGGGAAAAAGGTTATCCAGGAATACGGACAGAATGTTATAAGGACGGTGAGCCGACTGGGGAAACAGGTTCATTCAATCCTGCAAATGAAACCACATTTGAATTTCTGAAAGCGTTTTTCAAGGAAGTCACGTCAGTATTTCCGGAAACGCTCGTCCATTTAGGTGGGAACGACGTATGGCCTTCTTGCTGGTAAGATTTATGCTTATCTGTTCTTAAATGAATGTCAACAGTAACATAGGTCCATCGATAAACTTCGAAGAAATCTTTCATACGATCATGACTTTCCTGTGTGTTTGTTGTTCATTGGTTGACTGGGTCGATAGTCTGAGAATCTGCATAAGCAGCAGCCATATCTTGGAATTTCAATGGTTTGTCCATATATAATAAATGAGTGAAATGGAAAACTCCTGATGTCACTCCTCGGAGCTGGATTATGACTGAAAACTATTACTGCTGCTCATTGTGTATTTAAAACACATCCCAATCTCTTATTTGGTCCACTGTGTATGAGGTGTCAGATATTGATTGAAATTTTATGTTTCTGCAAAATCTTACACGTTGATTGTATTAAAATGGACTGTAATGCTCGGGCGCACTCTGTCACATTCGAAACACACTAACTGTCCAATGCTTCTTGAAAAGTCGAATCCTAGAGATGAAAATATGATCGGGAGTATCAGCGATCCAAATATCACAAATCATGTGTTGACCACATTTTTCAATGTTTCTCATAGAGAACAACTCTTCTAAATAATTCATGAAAAATCTCTGAAGCAAAGACAAGGAACATACAATTTTAGTTTAATGAAGGCAATGTTTGAATATCTGCAATTCGACGAAGGCCTACTAGTTGAAGTAATGTGAAACCGTGGCTGACTCATATTCTGCATACGCCTGATGGCGTCATTACTTGCAAGTGACTGGTTGTTCACGCTTCTGTCCACGCTGAGTGGTGCACGGTTTTCTTTGTAAGTGTTTTTCCACACTGCCTGTAACCTGGCTCTATAACTCACAATTCTGATTTTCTGATGTTCATTTATGCTGCATTCTGTCAACAACAACAAGCATATCCAAAGTATTTTGTTGGTCTTCACTGCATCAAAAGTTAGTGAGAATTGTCGTACAATCATTTCATAACTCGAATCTTTTATGATATCCTTCAAGTTAACTGCTTTGCTCACTTTGTGGTACGTCTGATAACTTACAGGAGAGGAAAATCACACTGGAAAGACCAGTGAACGAGTCACTGTTATAATTTGTAACTGAAATCTCCGGTGTTGTAATATGACATAAGAAACAATATGCAACAATAGGGCCAAATAAGCAATCTAGAACGAAGTATTTTCACACTCGATAAAATCTTTGAAACTGTTTTTCCACAAAATAGGAACTCGAATCCTGATGTTTTGAAGTTTATGGAGGAAAACAATTTCGGCGGTGATTTTGCAAAGCTTGAATCATATTACTTTGATAAACTCATTGAAGTCATTCAATCAGTTCAACCGGAGGGACATACTATCACACCAGTTTTCTGGGATGGAGTGTACATCGATGGGTGTCGTGTAAGTGAACCCTTTCTCCTTTCCAATAATATCTCGACATGATTTTTCACGTACAGTTTAACACTCCTCGTAATAAACAAGTCCTTACATAATGTTCTCCATATGGTTTGAGTACCTTATCATGCGAATACCTACAGTCGTATAATGTTTCATTGTTGTTTCATAAATTTCAGCTGACTGCTTCATGTTAGTGTGTTTATGTCACTCATCTCTACGTAGTATCTGATCATTCGTGTCACATTAAGTCTCCCACTTTAAGGGTAACTGCTGACACAACTGACGATCAACCATCACTGGTCTCTTGATCCGCGATGATCATGATCAAACATTTGGTCAGAGGTGTAGCACAGGTTCATCGATCTTCCAATTCTTAGGTAACAATCGTTCATTTGAGCTCCATTGCATTTCAAGCTTCTGAGACTTCCCTGTAGGTGAAGAGTAATCGTAAGAATATTCAGAGAAAAATATTCAAGTGAGAGTGCGATTTTGAGTGGAAACGATGCTCTTCACTTGCCTAATGATAATAGAATCTCTATTCTGGACAGCATTTATAAAATGTACAGAATCTTCAGAGGAGGTTATTTCATGATATTTTCCCTTCCTACAGTATCTTCAAGTAAAATATTAACTGATGGTGTATCCTCTTACACAATGGTCTCTGAGCTGAAGCACGAACCGTTACGTTTTGATAAGGTTGCCTTGTCTCCTTCAAAAATCCACGATATCTGGCTGTAAGCCAATTGTAGGATGTTCAGAAGTACATTTTGAAACCCAAAGATTTAATTCAGGAATAGTTATTTCATACTATTTTAATTTGGAACTTTTGATTATAGCCTGATTCCAGACACTGTTTGGTACAAGCATTGAATTTTCAGCATGTGATATCGGTGTGCGTCGGCTGAGGATCGAACCGCAGACCAAGTACACGGTCGGCGAGTGTCCTTACCGCTATGCTACCGACGCACACACTGCTACCAGAAATCATGTCATTCCTCAAGTTTTGTAGGAACTTGTAAATCAGAAGCTGGTAAACATTTTAAATACACGCCAGAGAAGATAATACCGATAGAGGTCATATCTTCACCGATTAAAACAAACCAAACGACAGTTAGTATATGCAGTAGATGGAAGTTTCTGGTAGCCCAAGTTTTAAGCAGGCCTCCGGTTGAATGCCTATTTGATTACCTTTATTAATAAGTTTGAAGAGGAGTATTTTCTCCGATTTCGGACTTTTCATTTCAGCTTTCTCATATCACAGTGATAAATAAACTCTCAAATTACCGGGATGGAAATGGTAGAAACTTACAAACCATCGTTATATTAACATCAGACAAAATGAGACTCATAGGCGAGGAAAAAGCGAAGACAAATAGACCCCCATACAAAGATCAACGAAGTGTCACTAAGCTTGTGTTGGGTCTGTAACACTGAGTTTCCCAACGAAATAATAGTGCCATCGCATCAGTTCTTAAGCAGGGAAGAGGTTTTTATCTCTTCTCTGTTTTGTATAAATTTGGAACGGTGCACTAAAATCCGTTGTTCAGACCGGTTTAATGCCTTGCATCAAATATTCACGTCACAATTTTTGCATCGACTAATGACTGTACTCAATTTTGTGATTTAGCCTTCTAAAACCACTGTGATTCAAGTGTGGAAGGGAGGAGCTTGGACGAATATTGTCAAAGAAATAACATCATCTGGTTATCGAGTTATAATGTCGTCTTGCTGGTTATTCACTGGTATAAACAGTCCTGTAAACTGGGCGGACTACTACGAATGTGATCCAACAGCGTTTGGCGGTATGTACAAGAGATAAATGTTAATTATTACAACTCAGAGAGACGAAACACGTTCTCATTTTGAGTGTTTGCTTTAGCTTCACACTTCATTTCAGTATTGCTTGGCCAGCTATACGCGTGTTTCGGCGTTCACTTCCTGGCCGACTGACTCCTTAACCTCGCTTCACCGGTAGTAAGTTCAGTCAAGTGGGATGGCTGGACATTGAGAGTAGCAGCCCTATCCCTTAAGAGGATAAACACCATTACCATTGTGACTTCCGGAATCCAGCATGAAGCCCTGGTTCTACTGAGAATGCAAAGGAATCAAATAAAATAGACGATAATACACACTTCTGACTACTCAACACTGTCATAATCCCCTATGAGAGGAGACTGTATCTAACTTTGCTCAGCCTGATGTTTGCTCATACTTTTTATCTATAACGAAAGCGAAACTGTTCATTGCTACTAGTAACCACTCTCTGATTTTCAGTTGAATAAAAAGCATCAGAGGCACACCCCCGCTGCACTAAACCCCCTGCAACCACTTTTCACGCCTCTTCCATTCTTTAAAGACTTATGTTTACTACCCACGTGATGTCCTCCATGTTACTCAACGAAACTCAACTCATTTCTGAGGATTGATGCTACTTAAACATCTCATTAGTGCATGTTCGATCAATGTACATTCCATTCTACATATTTTTCAGGAATAAGGATTATGGTTGATTATTTACACCGTGACTCCCTTCTTAACTTTCTAATATGGTGGAGTGAGCTTCTCCTCTGAAGGCAGTCGGACGGTATTCAGAGCTTCTGAATTGGTTCCACCTGGCTTCTGAATTAGCTCCGCTTAGTCTTAGTCTGGAGATACGAAGATTGAAATCTTGAGAGAGTAAACATCACCCCCGTTCCGTGGCCCATTTCGCAAATGATAATGCATTTTAATAGTGAAAACAAGTCAACACCTTTAAAGTAAATATATTTGGCAATTATAGTAGATAAGACCGCGCTTGCAAAACCATTACTTTAGTCACGTGAGTGCTTCCATCTTCATATGATATGCATCATTATCATTAATTCGTTAAGATTCTCCATCAATACACTAATAGCTGCCAACGTGTGTACAATTGTCACTTTCCTCTGCCTACTGCATTTGTTACAAGCACATTTGCATTATCTACTAGCAGTGTTGCGATTACTCACCACTGATAATGTAACATTAAGTTGTGTCATATTTATTATTATTAAGTCATTCTTCCTGTTTTTGAAAACTATCAAAGCCACTGAGGAGGAACGAAATCTGATTATTGGTGGAGAAGCCGTTGTATACACAGAACATGTGGATGAGTCAAATCTCATTATGCATTCATGGTAAGTTGTGATGTCTACTTTATTAGAAACGTTGAAAATGATTCATTCACAGATAACTTTCATGATGAATGAAGATGTACTCTCATTAGTGCGAAGACGTGCTCGTGCATAAATGAAGCTGAAATTATCTTGGAATAGAATGGGAATGGTTTCATGGAATGTGAATATAAATATTATGAGGAGTGGTGTACGGACGAAGTGCACAGACCCATGCAAAGGTTCATTTGACTGCCTGAAATATTTTGGAATTTAGTTAGATTTACTCGTCACACTTGAGATCATAGTGAAGAAAACGGTCATAAGTGAGTCAGTTATGTGGAAGTGTCGTATCCGCATAACGATTCTAACTGGCATCGCGAATCTTTCCGTCCACTCAGTCAGCGCAAAACTCCCTGTTGACAACCACACTATGGTTAACTTTTGTAGCATCCGTTTATTAAAAGCGGCAGTGTGGTCAACGAGAAAAGTAATAATGAGCTGTCGGTAAACATGAATCTTTCATCCTCACTGCTTTATTAATCCTAATACATCATCTCCAAAACGGTGACAGAATTCAACACACATTTTTCATACACACTGGTCGTATAATTACAAGGAATTCGGTCACCTAGAGAAAGTTGGTCAGAAAGTTCATATTGTTGATCGTTTTAAATATATATTCTTCTCACTTCGTTTATATACTTTAAAAGGCCTGATAGTGCTGCAGTAGCCGAACGCCTTTGGTCACGAGATCCATTCAATACCGACGAATTCAAAATAAGAATAAATGAACTACGTTGTCATTTGAGACAGTAAGTTCACACGTTGCTGTGTTAGTAACGATATTCTGAAATACATATTTCTTTATTATAACTTGAAGCCACACAGTATTTTTGGTACGAGTATGGAATTTTCAGCATATGATATCGGTAGCCCAAATTTCGCAGGCCGACCACAGATATCAGGTGTGCGTCGGAAGGGGGTCAAACCCCGGACCATGTGTATGGTCGGCGAGAGTCCTAACCGCTGTGCCACCGACGCTATTCATGTCAAGTTTGGTTTTAACATCACCAGATGTTGGAAGCAACTTCTCTAGACGTGATGGCTTCACCTGAGATTTCGTTTTCGTAAAGCAACGGTGATTTAAACACGTACTGCTGATAATATATGTGAACGTTGAAAATTAACCCAATCATTCATCTTATCTTGGATTCATATGGTGCAATCGGTCAGATACTTCAGACAGCAATCTGAAAGGAAGTTACGCTGAATGAATAAAGCTGTAACGTCTGTAGATGCAAAGATGTTTGTGATAAACTTACTTCAAACAGAAGACGATTATGAGGGTTACGGGAATATTCGAAACATCCTACTCAAGATGTCTACTTAATTCTGTCATTCTGAAGCGATCAGATGTGACAAACAGAAAAATGTGACCCTGTTTAATAGATTTACACGAGTATCACATGCCCACAGAACACATGATTGTTAGCAGTTTCCCTGATACTAAGGTGTTTATGTCTACTGCTTGATTGGGATGGGAACAGCGGATGTACGAATGGTAGAACGCGGAAATGTATAACTCCCTTCAGCCTCATTTCTTATGTTTATTTAGCTGATTAGAAATTCTACGCCTGAGGTTCGCCATCCACTCACATGTTTCTGTCCATATCAGTCTTATTTCAACCATGATTTGTTAGATGTATATTTAACCTCGTATGGCTTTCTGTCGCTTACCTTGTCTTACAGTTAGCAACTTCTCCTTTCACGGTCATATGACTAGTTCTTATAATGACACATTTAACAATAATATCATTGGAATTTGGAGAGTAGTCTTACCGCTTATGGTTGGATTCGAAGTAAAATAACAAAATAACAAAGACGCTGAAGCTTGTTCCTCACCAATTCATAACTAACTTTCCTCTCTTTTGAATACAGCTTGGGATTCAATGCGAAACCTCTAAATGGACTGAATAGTTGTTTACGACCGTAAGAATGCACTTGCAATATCTGGACGTCTGTGGTAAACTCATCATTTGTAACTCAGCATTGGTGGAATAAAATGTATTTTCAAAATGTCTTTCTTTAATGTACAACTTGCAGAAGTGTTTAACTACGACTGATGCTTCATGCTATGTGCCCCCTATTGCATTCAAGAATAATGCGGATGTTGTATACGTCTTACTTAATAAATTCATAGAGTCATACACCGAGATAGATACTGCATCTGTTTCATTTGAAGCAATCAGCACAAGCGCCGGAAAAATTCGATGAAGTGAACATACACGGCGGCGATATGGCAGTTTTCTCAGCACACAAAACGTAAACAGAAGCCATATTACGATGACGAATATGGACCAGTGCAGCGATAGAACAACAGAACATCACGAGTGGCATCCTATCGTTATTGTCCTCCACCTCATTTCCATTATTCCGTGTAAATATGTAAACGCGTCGAGTGGAATTTCGCTAGCTTCTACTCTCACTAGAAAAATCGTCGTATCATATCACACGTGAATTGTGTATAACAGCCAGTAAAACCATGCCGTCAGCACTGTCTAATATGTCACTGAGTCTAAGTTTCCAAGGGACGACAGTGGTGTAACTATAAGTTCAGTCTTTGAAACCGGACTGAGACATTCTGTGAAGGCGCTCCTTCTGGGAGTGGAGGTGTAGTTTGGCATTTTGTTATGATGACGTATTCACAGAATCTTCTTATGTAGCTTTTAAAAGATGTATCATATCGTATCATTTGTGCTGCGTGTTATACATTCCATTTGATGATGACGAACGTGATCTCTCCCGTGTTACCTTAATCAGAAATAGTCTAAGACTTTCCTTTTTAGTCACAATCACCTCCACACTCCCATGACACGTGCGAAATGGGGACATCCTAAAACGCTCCTGAATATGGTACCACATCTCCGATCGACCAGTCACACAACCTTACTTTACTGTGATAGCCCTCAGCGAGTCACTTATCATTAGGCTTGCCTCACTGCGAATCTCTAGTTCACTGCAGATTCAGATTGATCATCGATCCTGCAGCAGTTGCACTATGACCTCCGTTTCCTCTCCTCATTTGCCGTTCTCGACAGTCTGAGGTCATTCTACACGGATAAAACTGGGTTTTGAAATGTTCCAGTGTCACAGGTTGGCTCCGCATTGTCCGAAATAACGCATATTGCATGGACAAATCTATGGAGTATTATGGCGGTTACATTTCACGGGAGAAAGATCAAAGACCGAACAATAAATCTCCATTGTGATGCAGATAAATACTAGACACAATTGAAATACATATTATTGTTTGCATCTAGATGAGTGTTCATCCGTTAAATCCCACTTAGATTTCCGTAATTCTGAGGGGATACGGGTTTCAGTTATTGATCAGAGTGCACTACACTAACCAGAACCAGTTAGGAAGAATGTTACCATCTCTTCTGACTTTGCGTAGTGTTGCGTGTGAAAGTTGACAAATGGAATAGTGATAATTGCTTGTGACTTTAGTACATTGTTACCTATATAACAGATTTATTCATCCCACAGTGTGTATCAATATTGCCACAAAATCTTTTATCATTCAAGTGTAGTGTTAATAATTCTCAAAATTTGAGGATTTGGAATTTGACCCTCTCTACTGATAACAAAATCTCATAGTTTTCGAAAACAATAATAAGTATTCTCTTAAAGAGATTTGTGTAGATAGTTCAAAGTTTGAATTCGCTGAAGAGTAGAACAATTGTTTGAATCTTTGTATTAAATGCAACAAAAGAGTGTGAAGGTGAGATGTAGTGATGCTAAGTTGTGTTTGAGAATAATAATAATAATAGTATATTCTCATTTTTTACATGAGGGACGCCAGTTTACAGCCATCATCAATATGATAAATTACATATACGATTAGTAAGCATATTTAATGATAGTAATTTAATAAAATACATTTTTTCCTACCTGTGTAGGACACACCAATTGTACAGGCATGGATAAGTATTATTTAAATTACATAAATTTGGTTCATGGTAAAATTACAAGGTTGCAGTCATTTTGCCTATGGGAACAATATGATAACTAGTCATTCAATGGAACACATCAAGAAATATAGAAATATTGTCTTCGCATTAACAAAAAAACCCAAGTATGTTTTGGATGGATTACAAATACTTGGGAAAAAAATAAAGCTTGAAGTAATTCCTCCATATAACTTTGCATCGAGTCTGATTCTTGATTTATATCCATATTTGACAATAATTTAAAATAAGTAATACACTTGTATCCTTTTGTCAGCATTTTCTTCGTAACATCACAAGTGAATAGTACTCAAGGTAGGCTAATAATAATGACAGTCTGTATTTTCTTATAAATGGGTGTTTTCAATAAATGCAAGCTATTTTGCAGGTACAATCAGTTATGTTGTAAGTTACAATCGTGAAGTATTATAAATCAATACTTTTTTATTGGTATAAAGGTATATTTCACAACTGTAATCCAGGTTGCGTATTGCGTAATTCACGAGGGAATTGTAAGATATGGGACCAATAATGTTTGCAGATCATTTGTCATTGTAAATGGTCAAAAATGTACATTCTTTGTTCTCTTTCAAAATGTTAAATGGAAGCTGAAATGGTGAGAGACAAAAGAAGACAAACAACAACAACGCAAAAGCAAGCAAGTGGAGTACTTAGGGAGTGATTAATATGTATATATACATTTATATTCTGTTTAGTAATTATAGTTATTTTGGTGCACTAACTAACCATTCCCGTGATGCTAACTTTTATATTGTGTGAACTAATATTATTGTCCTGTGGAAAAATGTCTATCATGTACTTCCAATAATATAAAACTTTATATTTGTAGTTTGTTGTAACTACACGTTTAATGAACTTAAATATCTATGTTGGACGAAAAAGTGGGTGTAGGATTCAGACGCAGAAGTGCACTGTCATCTTTGAGCAGTCTGGTGACTGAGGAGATGAACACTGCGAGTGTGTTTGCATCGCGCACATCAGCTGGTAGTCTATTCCAAATGGCTGAAAACTTATTTAAGAAGAAATTATACCGCATGTGAGTCTGACAATGCTCTAAAGCAGCTAGGTTGTGATGATTTCTAAGATTGTAACTGATGACGGTGGTAGGTTTAATTATTGGCTCGGAGGAGTGCACGAGCAGATTAGTTAGCTTGTAGTAAAAAATTAGGTTCAGCTTAAGACGTCTTTTCCAGAGTGGTTCTAAACGTAGTCTGTCGCAACGTTCATAGTATTGGAGACCACTTTCTAAGCCAAGAATTCTTAAGGTGAATTGCCGTTGCACTCCTTCTAACTTAAGCTTGTCAATTTGTCTGAGTCCGCTAAGAATAAACGGTCAGTATTCTAAAATAGGTCGGACACATACTTTGTATAATAAAACCCTAGTTTCACAACAAAAGAAATTGCGAGTTATGCATCCTAGGAGCCTTCGTGTTTTACGTCTGGCATAATCAGTTTGTTCAGAGAACGTTAAGTTACTAGAGTATCTGATACCGAGATCTACGACTGAGTTGAGCTTGGCTAGTTTACGCCCATTTATTTCAAGATTCAGGTCAAGGTTACTGTTTCCGATACAAATCCAGCCGCATTTATCAATGTTGAACTTTAGACAGGATTCAGTACACCATGTTGCGAGACTACTTAGTTCAAGATGTATTTTAGTTACCATATCGCTTAGTTCATGAGCGTAGCAGGAGTAAACGACTTTGAGGTCGTCAGCATATAGGAATGATTTACCTGAGGTGAAGCAGTTGCAAATGCTGTTAATGTATACTGTAAATAAAAGTGGACCTAGGACACTACCTTGCACAACGCCACTTGTGATCTGCCTAGGATGAGGCAATACAGATCCAACCTTGGTTATTTGTACCCTATTGCTTAGAAACGATTTTAACCGGCTCAGTAATGGATTGCGAATCCCACATGAATACAGCTTCTCAAAGAGAATACTGTGAGATACCATGTCAAATACCCTAGATATGTCGAAGTAGAGAACAACAACTAGCTTACGTGCTTCGCGACTACTAGTGATGCAGTTGAAAAAGTCGAAGTGGCAAGTAATGCCAGACCTATTTTTGAGAAATCCGTGTTGAGACCTTGTAACAAGATCTTCCTTAAGTAGATAGTCTGACAATTGATCTTTGACAACTTTCTCCATGACTCGCGAGACAACTGGGGTTATATTTATGGGTCTGTAATTGCGGGCGTTTGGCTTATCACCGGATTTATAGTGTGGAATTATGAAACTAGTTTTCCACTCATTAGGGTAAGTGCCAGTGTCCATAGATATTGAGAAGAATTTAAGAAGTAGTAGGGGTATATCACACCCACTGTTTTTGAAAATTATAGAAGCAAGGCCATCTGGTCCCGTGCTAGTGGAAGGTTTCAGGCTTTTAACTGCTTGTTCTATTAATTGGTCGGTGAACACTATGCTTCCGAGGAAAGAGCTAGTAAGGGGGCCGGTGTCACCAGGAATGCACATTTCTAAACTGAAGTTTGCAAACCATTCACTGAATATTTCACAGATGGTGGCAGGCACATTGTAGATAACTTTGTCATGAAGTAAATAGGGGATGTCCCTAGTCGACTGCATTCGTTTTTTAAGAAGTGTTGTTAAGTTATAAACTTTGGAGGTGCATTCAAGTGCCCTTAATTCTTCGTCGAGGTCCTTTTGAGAGCGTTGGCGCTTGATAGATTCAAGAGACTCATGGATTGAGTGCAGTAGTGATATATCCTTAGTGGAATAGTACTGTTTCTTCAACTTCCTCAACTTATTGCGGTATGCCCTCGGAATGTATTCAGCTTGGTGTCTACTTAATTTCACTACCCTCTTAGGAGCAACAGTATCTAGACAAAGGATAACATTCCTGTAAAATAGGGACACTACAGTCTCCAGGGAGTCAGTGGTAAAATATTCATCCCAGTGACAGAGTCGAATGAGTTCTTGGACTAATCCCCAGTCTGT